AACTTCAGAATGGATGTGGACTGAATGGACTACCTGTGTATTCTTGCATCCATTCCCAAGCTCTGAATCAGCTTCGATTTATGCTTGTCCCAAAGACAGTTTCTTAACATGCAATAGTAGTTAACTGTTAGTTAGAAGAGAGCATTGTATAGTTAACAAACGCCTAGTGGGGTTTCCTTTCAAAACAAATGGCACTTGGGACTACTAATCCTAGCATCCCCATTGGAAAATTGTACTATTTATCATTTGCCATCCTCCTCTCGGTCAGAGTACATGGATCCTCAAGTAAAGAGGGGAAAATATGGGCATCTTTTTCTTACCTACACCCTGTATATCTTATGCTATATCCTTGGGTGATACTTGCTGACGCAACTGCTCCATTTTCTGCTCATGCTGGCGCTGACGTTCATTCTCTTCATGCTCATATCTCAGCCTCGTTAGTTCAAACTCCATCCGCCTCTTTTCCAGCTCTGTCTCGATGGCCAAGTCCAGTCTGCTGCTGGACCATTGTGACTCTGCCCCATTGACCACAATGCGTGGTACCTGCAGGCCCAGGTGTTCAGTCACCCCATCATTCCGTTGCTCTGGGGGCCTATTGGCTTTTTTTACCTCTGGGGTGGTCTCTAATTGCTGTTCACATTTTGGGGTCTCTTGATGCCCATTTTGCTCACCTGAGAGCTTCTTTTCTTTCATCTCTGGCCTATATACCTCCAAAGCCAGCTGGAGCTCTATCCTCATCTTACCCATCTCAGTAAAGGCCACAGAAGCTGTTTCAGCTGTGGCTTCTGCTGGGCTGCACCCAGATACCTTCTGGCTCACCATATGGAGGTTTCCTTGCCTCTGGCGCATTTGCTCCATCTTCTCTTCATGCTGCCTCTGTTTCTCTTTCTCTTCATATTGTTTTTGCTCATGTTGTCGTTGCTTCTCATTCTCCTCAGAGATGTGCTTCAGTTTGGCCAGTTCAAACTCCATGCGCAACTTCTCCAGTTCAATTTCTGTAATGGGGTCCAGCTTACCCACAAACTGCTCCTCTTCCACATGAGCACCACTCCTGGAGGGAGATCCCTGGCGTATGCGCTCCATCTTTTCCTCATGCAGCCGTTGCCTATCATTCTCCTCATGCTGCCGCTTCAGTATGGTCAGCTCAAACTCCAACCGCATCCTCTCTATTTCGCTGTCAGTTTCATGGGTTTGCGTGTGCCTGGCTTTTCGTTGTTCCTGCTCCTCAGCGTAATCATACTTATCATCTTTGTGGACATTTTTCTCCTTTTTGACAACTGCCTCTAATGGCAAAGGACTGTTTATGATTTCTATCTGCTTCAGGGTCTCTAAGAGCATTTGTTGATCTCCATTAGCCAGACGATCAGTCATAACAGAGAGGTTGGCAGGACACACTGGCATATCTTCACTGACCTCCTAAAACATAAGAAAGGGAGGGAGGCATTATGCATACATTTCCAAGATGGCCTAATTAACATTATATCTTGGTGTTTCTCTCTATATCTGAGGTGGAGAACCTGTGGTCCTCCAGATGTTTCTAGTAACTCCAGAGAGCACTAGTTGTGGTAACAGACGTTGGAAATTATAGTTGAGTAACATATGAAAGGAAAGATTTCTCTTCCCTTGCAATACACATTCAAATGGTTTTATGTCCCAGGCCAAACTGATTCTTTTCTGAACAAATGAAAAATATCCAGCTCTCATCAATGCCACTGTAGAAACACATTGCTGAAAGTGTGGAGAGACCATGAAAAAGCAGATGTATACAAACAAGCTATGTAGACCACTCAATTTTCACCATATATTTTCAATGCGAATGGAGAAAAGATATAAAAGACGATGGCAGAGATGAAGAATGGTATCAGTAAAGGTCAACTGAGTGAAAGGATAGAGAAGATCCATAGACTGAAAAAAAATGTAGTTTCACTAAGATGAGTGTCCATGAATTTTTTTAAAAAATGTAATTCTCTTCCAACAGCACTGTTTTCAGTTTCCAAACTTTGAGAAATCCTGGCTCATTTGTCCCTACTACAACCAGTCTCTAATCACCCAAACCCTCACATCTGGAAGTGTGTCTTATGGATGGTCCATGGAAATACATGAAAAGTGTCTTACAATACCACAGTTCTCACTCTGGAATCATTATTTTTAAATGATTGGCTATAAAAACTGCTGAAAATCATTTAGGTAAGATGGGGGGTATATATGTTAATGAATTAACATGATTGAATGAATGAATGAAGTTTGCTAAAATATGCCATAGCCATTGAAATGAGGGAAAGCAAGCATATCATTATCACTCTGTTCACAATTTAAAAGAATAGTGAATGATCACATTTGGCATCAGGAAACCATGGCTATTTGAGGGGAGGGAGATGAGAGGTGAGAGCTTCTGCCATGGGAGAATATCCCTCTCCAAAGCTCCATGGAGCTCTAGAACTTCAGCTGAAAAATAGATTTGCATTATTTTGATTTGCAAAGTTGACCTGGAAAGAAATTAAGCTGAGCTGCCAAATAGGGTCACTGATGTGGAATCACAAAGGTGGTCAGTTAATCCTAGATTGCAAACATTGAATATGAAAGTTAAGTGAATTGAAGTAAAATGAAAAAAGATGATGATTCTGGCAACTGATATGATTTCTTCCAATATCAGAGCTCCTTCCTTTACTATTAGGGAGTCCCAAACTTTTGATGTCAGTGAACGCAGTTGGGATTTTTGGAGTATGTTATACAGGATTACTGTATCTGGGCTACAAAAATCTGGACTTCCACTAGATAGTGGTAGAGAAGTGAGAATGCTAAAAATATTCATAGGGAGGGGTTCTTTTTTTTTTTTTTGTAGGCCAGATATGCTAGAGCTAATTTTGTGAACATTTTTACTAAATGTTTGAAAAGGTGGGCATGGCCAACCATCAAACATCTATATAATACAAAGGATTAATTCACCGCTGCCTTTAGAAAATCATTATTATGGCATATTCATAACTCGATTAAGGGTGTGTGAAGATGAGTCTAACATACTTGGCTAACATAGATTGCACTACTTCTGTGGGGCAAAAAGCCAGACATAAACTCTGGCCAGAGATTTCTGTATTTTTCTACTGCCTGAGGATTTTTGCACCTGAAATGTGGGAAAATTACATATCAATGAATAAGAAAAGCCTGAATCTTTTTTTGATATTGTTGGGGTGGTAGTGATATAAAATCCAACTCTCTTTGTCCATAAAATGAATTTAAAAACTTATTTCTTAGTTAGATGTCATTGATCTCTCTTCCTAGTGAGACCATGGGTAAATTCTCATCATTTGGACATGGCTCTAGTAATAAGCTGGGGCTTTTCCAGTTACATCTTGTAATCTCTTTGAAACTTCCCAGCCACTTTATTTGCTGTCTCTCCTTTGACTTCCTTCAACCTTGTCAAGCACTATTATCTTTTTAGTTTTTATCTGTTCATGTAACATACTCAGAATATGAGTTTCTACCTGCTGAACTTTACTTCAAGGAAGCAATTAGCCTTTATTTAGTCAGGACTCTTGCAGTCCACTGTACTTTGTGTAGCCACCCTCAGATCTATAATTCAATCTTCTTTATCTCACACAGTACTTTTATAATGTCCAGTTTTTATAGCTGTATATTATCATTACAAATAGCATTGCTTTAATTACTCTGGTTTTTGCTGTGTTACAAATATCATCCTCCCTCCCTAGCATTAATCTTATCTTTACTCTTCCAGCACATTGCTCATCTTTATTTATTATTGAGCTCAAATAATTATCTACATTTTTACTTTTGTAGTAATCCATGCATTTGTAAGTCTGACCCTATTACTGAGCAAATTATAGCTGAGCACAAAGTGATGTCCTCTTTGAGTATTATTGCCATTCCATTTTCCTTATATATTATCATGACCTGAATGATATGTAATCAAAATTCCAGTCCAGCTAAGTTAAATCACTCCTAATTCATTGGATTTAGAATGGTCCATATGACAATGACAAATTCAAATCATGTTTGTATATTCCATGTTCCAATTCAGCATGTCTTTGTTTGACAAAGTACAACAAAGTATTTTTTAATAACTGCCGCCACAGTGACAGGACTCCCTTGCAGCTTTGATCTGGCCTTTGTCATCACCTCCAGACCCACTTATGAAAATTGGATATTCTTGTCCAGTAATTACAGGAGTACATTCTAACCCGAGAATCTCGTAATCTAGCACCCAAACTTGTCTAAATATTCCAGCCATGTCCATACTGTTTTCTTGACAGCAATGCAAAAGGAGCTTGCCATTGTCATCTTCCTACTTTGATTGCAAAGATCAAAGAGATCTGGAAAATCCCACCTGCCCTCATTCCTATTATGGATTACCTTTAGCTTTAACTTTCCCTTTTGACCTTAGAGGCTAAACTGTCAATTACAGAAGATTATGTACCACTGCAATTAATCCCAGAATCATTGAGGCATTTAAGCCCTCCCACTACATGAAGATGATAGTCCTATGAGAGGCAGATTAAAAAAAAACTAACTTAAAAAAAGATAAAAGTGGGCAAAGGTTTACTATGCCCAAGAAGGAAGGACAAGATTCAATAGATTTAAATTGCAAGACAGGAGATATGGGAGAATTTAAAAAATAGTCTATAGTCTATCAAACAATTGAAGAGGGAAGGAGGAAAAGGATGCTGGAAGATTAATCTTTTGGAAGAAGCTTTCTCGGGCAACATCCACTTTGCTTGAAACTGAAGATGTGGAAACAGAGAAAGCAAGATAAAATAAAAGATGAATTGTCTAAACCTGGTTTTCAAAGGAACAGAAAAAAAAGCCAGCTAGAAACTTTGTATGTGAGGAAACTGTAATCCCTGGTATATCCTCAATGAATCTCAGAGAAACTTTTTGGGAGGTCCATCCCAGTTTATCTTCCCAATCTACCATGCAGGACTCTTGTAAGGATAAAGTGATTGAATTGTACCTTGAACACTTTTGGAAAGGGATTAGATCTTACCATGGAGAATTTGGATACCAGAGTTAGAAATATAAGTAGCTTGATAACACTATGTTTACAGATTAAATTAAATCTGTCCTTTTGCCTTCAGTCAGATCTCAACTGTCCTGGTTTCCAAAACCAGATTATTCAAATCTACATTCCAGGCTAACTGTCTTAATGATGTCACAAGTTCCAGGCTCAACTTCCTTCATGCTCTCACAGAACCACTGGCAACTTGCAGGGGCTTAACTATATCTATTTAGGCAGGGGTGTCAAACTCACTCATCATGGTGATGTCACATGACATATCAGGACTTTTCCCCCCCTTTGCTAAACTGGGTGTGGGCATGGCCAGCGCATGATGCATCCGGCCCATGGGCCGGGAGTTTGACAGCCCTGTATTAAGGGGAGGGACAGTCTTTTTAACAGACAGATGTTATTTGAAAATAAGCACTGTTGTAAGGAAAGTCAAATGTTTTTGAATTAGAACTTTGTTTTTGAAGAAAGGCAAAGGGAATCTGAGACTGAATACACACAGCTGATTAGTTTCTGCTTGTCTTTATACAATTTGGAAAAAAAGAGAAATAGGAAGCTAGCACCAGGTATTCCTCTTTCAGTCTGGAACATGATGTCATGGCCCAGCAGAAAAAGTAGTTTAGAAAGGCTCTGATCCAAGGGGTGATATTTTGTTGACTCCATTCCCCAGTAAGAATGCAGCAGGCCTAATATCAGATCTGTACAAAATCATCTGTGTGCTCTTTCCCTGCTTGTATAGTCTGACACCAGCAATAATAATAAAAAATGTCATTGATAGTTTTTAAGTCTCCTTCCTCCTTTCATTATGTCTGTGGTTCAGGCACAGTCATGTGATTTCTCCAAGGCACATGTGGTAATTTTTCTGGTAACAGCAAAACACATGGGATGTTATAAAAAGGTTTCAAAGTTAAAGTTTTCCCCCCTTTCCAACACCACACAAACTATCACATAGACCAGAGGTCTCCAAACTTGGCAACTTTAAGACTTGTGGACTTCAATTCCTAGAGGAATTCTGGGTATTGAAGTCCACAAGCCTTAAAGTTGGCAAGTTTGGGGACCCCTGACATAGACATTTGAAAGCAGGCACATCATTTGAGGCAAATATAAGGGCAGAAATATTCAGCAATAAAGGCGGTGGTTCTTGGTAGCTGGACATTGTTGGTGTTCATGTGCTGTATGGATTGGATATGCTAAATCCATGTGCAGCTGGAGAAGGTGTCTACAGGCAAGGACCCAATAGGAGCATACAAGATTATTTATTTAGCTGACTGCAAAGATAATTGATTGATGGAACAATTGGAAAGGATAGTTCAGAAACAAGCAAGGGTAGCAGGATAGGAATGCTGGGATTCCACGCTCAGGAAAATGTTATTTTCTGTTTTTTTTTCCTTCTAAGATCACAAGGAAATGAAAATACTGAAGCTGTCTAAATGACTGAAGATATCAAACCTGGGATAAGAATGCTTGCGGGAAGAGGAAATGAGGCAGTTAATAATCTATCCATAAAAACCTATATAGAAAAGCCTTTATAGAAATATTTCTATAGTTCGTTATGCATAGGCCACTATTTAATATATTAGGAAAAAGCACACTGTGTTAATCTAAAAACTCTAAAACATCACCATAATTTAAAGAACAGTGTGTATATATCTGGAAAATTCCCTTTTCCTACACCTCAACTGGATTGTGGAAGAAAGTGACTGACTAACATTTCAGTGAATTAAAATAAATCATTGATTGGGCCAAACCACAGAGTGCCAATAAATTTCTAGTCTGCCTCAGTATAATATGAAAAAAAAAAAACCTCCTTTGGTGAGATGTGAACAGCTTGTCTGGAATCCACGCTTCATTCCTAAGCAACACGTTATCTTAAATGTTATGGTAACCAGAACCATTCTGTCATCACAGTGTAGAACTTTTTTGACATCACTGCTGTGGCAGTTTAGAAGGGATTCAGGGGCCTGAGTTTGAGTGTGTGCGCCCAAGTGCGTGTATTAAACCAGGGCAGCTGCTTTTAGGTCTTCTAGATGGGGCAAATAGGAGAATAGAGGCTGTTGCCTTAAAATCAGAGACAGACGTACATTTCTTGATGGGAATAGATCTGCGATGGTAAGAAATTCTAATACATCACTGTGTTAAAGCCTGTGGAAAGAGTATTTCAAATCATTAAATAAAATATAAGAAACACCGTGTTATACAAACAACACCCATTTGCAAAGTTGACATAAATTCAAGGCAGGCAGGGTTGAAAACTTGTATGCCCCATTCAGATTGGTGGGAAGATTAAACCAATACTTTAGTGTCTATGGAGATTCTCAGTCGTCCAGGTCATGGTTGTCCCAAAGGTGCTTTTTTTCCCCAAAAGGCAACTGGACTTTGTGGTTTTTCTTTGAAGACACTTTGCTTCTCATCCAAGAAGCTTCTTCAGCTCTTCAGAATAAGAAATCATGGGTCTACTATGTGAATTGGCTGGAGAGTTTTGACATAGAGAATTCTGCATATCTAAGAGCCCTGCTGACAGCAGGCCAAGAGATGGGATGCTTTTTCCTTTTAGGACATCCTTTTTCTGTGGGAAATGGGAAGAAGGTAAGGTAAGGTAAAGGAGTCCCTGCAGATTTTACTCTGCTAGTCATTGCCAACTCTAGGAGCAGTGCTCATCTCCAGAGCTGTCCAAAGATGGTCCCATGGTCATGTGGCCAGCATGACATCACAGAGCATTGCTACCTTCCCACTATTTATCTACTTGCGTTGTATGTTTTCAAACTGCTAGGTTGGCAGGAGCTGGGGTGAGGATGGGAGCTCACTCAGTCACATGGTGCTCGGGTCTTGAACCTGGGCTGCTAGCTTTCCAGCCAACAAGCCCCTTTAAAAAAAAGTCAAATCTTTTTAAACAATCAATTAAGGCAGGAATTAAAGCAGCATTTCCAAATGCTCAATAGCTGTAGTTTGAGAATAATTCCAGTTAACAGTCTCTTGGCCATGCTGGTCTTAATTCATCAGGGCTTGGGGCGGGTGCGGGGGGACAGACAGTTGGGGAAAGTTAATGATTTTTGTCGCACCCACTTTGGCAATTAAAACACATTCAGGGATAATCCCTATAAAAGAAGAGTACAGAATCTGTGCTTTTGCAGAATTTAATCTCTCAGAAGCTTAAGCCAATAGGACAATGAAGAAGCAGATAGGAATACCCCAAGTTTTCCATTCTTGAAGAAGATTTAACAAAACAAGAGAATAAAGACCTGTTATTCTATTAGGTTATATACAAGTCCTCTCTCACCATATCTGATCTTTTTCAGGAAATATCCAGAGAACACCATTCATCTTCTGATTTCTCCAACTTTGAGACAGAGTCTGTGCACCACACAGACAAGGAGATTCAAGCAGATCTGGATCATACTAGCAATCTGGAAGGGTCTGACTATTTTTATCAAGGAGGCAATGTAGAATTCAAGGACATGCAGGCAGGAATTGAGTTTGCTGTGCAGATAACCCCAATTAAAGATTCAAAAAAACATAAGGAAAACATGGTAAGTGAGAAGGAACATGGCAGATGGATGAGGGAAGTCTTCATTTTGCCCTTTATTCTGCCCTACTATTAGTCAATGGGCCATCTCTTCTGGTAAAAACAGTCATAGAAGTGTAACATATTTGTAATGATGATCAACTCCATGGATGAATGAATGGCAGAGAATTTCAGACTTTCTGTTCCAGAAATCCTTTGAGTCTTCATACTGTTCTCCTATCTCCTCTAGTGGTTTGGTAGGTTTTGCTTCTACTAATTATCCCCCTAATCTGGCATCCGTTTCCTAACTTTGGCATGAGAAAGTCAGAAAGGTAATTAAAAGGTCAACATGCAAACATGACAAGAAAGAAATCCTGAGCTACTCTTAGTTGGGCAACCTATGCATGGATGGTGAAATTCCAAAGATGAGAAGTTTAATTCAAACAAGTGCCAAGCCAGAAATCAGCCAGGCCAGCTCAAGAAGAGAAGCTGTTGTACAGAAGGGTAGAGGGTGTAGAAGTAATACCTTTACAGTGTTCTTGTCCTCCAAACATAGGAACAGGGACTCTATTTTTCCTATTTTGGAAAAATATCAGATTCAGTTAATTAATTGATTTTGAACAACACAAGAATTCCTAGATATATAACAAAAATAAAAGAGAGGCATGGTGGCCTGGAGATGGAGCTCTCACCTCATAGTCAGGAGGCTGTGAGTTTGATCCTAGGTAGCAGAAGATATTTCTCTTTTGGGCGCAAAGAAAAATATCTGCTGTGAACTCTGTGTAAGCATCAGGAGGGGCATCTGGCCAGTAAATTCTCAGCCTCATTGAGTCGCCCCAACTCCACTCTGATGCAAGGGATTGCAGGGTTGCTAAAAAGAAAAAATATATATAACAAAAATAAAAACATGAATAGTATAATCATGTGTAGACAATAATTAAACTAGAAACAAACACAATTCCAGTTATTCCCTAAATGCTCTCTGGAAAAAGTCTGCTTCAACCAATGTCTGAAATGCTAACAAACTAGATAACCAGCCCAACTTCCAGTGAGAGCATATTCAACAAAATACCTGGAAACATGGCTCCTGGGCCCCATCTGTCTTCACTTTAATCTAGTATGGATGCAGTAGCAGCTTCTCCTGGAGGGAGTGTTTGGTCAATGAGATGTAATTCCTATAGCCTACAGCCATACTGCCTTCGTGCTATCCACTAAGAGAAGTCAGCTGCCTTCTCCTTTCCCAGCCAGGCCTCTGAAACCATTGGGTTACTCTCAGGGGTGGGATTCAAATTTTTTAACAACTGGTTCTGTGGGTGTGGCTTGGTTGGTGGGCATGGCTTGGTGGTCATGTGACTAGGCGTGGCCAACTCAATATCACTCACATCAAGACACGCATCTCCTCGCCTGGCCTCTCATGACTGTGGGATGCTGCAACAGTCGTAAGTGTGAAAAAATGGTCATAAGTCACTTTTTTCAGGGCCATTGTTACCTTTGAATGGTCACTCCACACAAGCAAAGTACCAGCAAAGGAGGGGAAAAAAACCTCCAGAGACGTTCCTGAGACAGGAAGTCTTATCCTGCCAAAAATGTAATAAGGGTTAATGGAGAGGCAGTTACTGTAAGCAACACCAGAATGTTTCATTCCTGCCTTCCTTACAGGATTAGGCCAGTAATTTCTTCTAACAATCAGTTCTCCGAACTGCTTAGAATGTTAACATCCGGTTCTAGCGAATAGGTGCGAACTGGTAGAATCCCACCCCTGGTTATCCTTTCCTAATGATCCTCCTGCCCCAGGTTGGCATTTCTTTTACCCCAGATAACAAAATAACGACATCTCTAAGGCTTCATTTAGGAAGTACTTTAGCAACTTGGTTTGCTTTCCTTATACATCTAGAAAGGGGAACAAGGCATACCTGTTGGCAGTTCTTCCTTTGCACTTTCCTATATTCTTTTTTCCTACACTCTTCACTAGCTTACATTCAACATGTGTGAGATGGGTTCTTATGCTGCAAGCTATTCCTTAACATAAAAAAGGACCTGAAAGAAGCCAAGGTGCTCCATGCATATTTCTAAATAAATATAATGTCAGGTGTACTCATAACAGGAAGTAGGGTTAACCTTTGGGGCCATGAAGTACGTACCTTTCTTTATAGAAGCCCTCACTGAACAGACTGAGTCATGCTATCAAACAAAGATGCATGATGGTGTTATAAATTAATAAAAATAATAAACATCCACAAAGAGATAATATATTACTATTTTCCTATTATTTTTTTCCCATTTAAAAAAGGAATTCTCAGATTCCAGGAGGTGGGATTTACTCCCACAGTAATTAATGATAGATGCATCTTTAAAAGTAGATCAGGCAATGCATCAATTATTTCTCCAGCAAAAAGACAGCAAAAATCCTGAGATCCATTCAATACAAAAGACCTCGCCTGCTTCTCGCAGCAATGGAATAAAAAAGTGTTTTGAAGTAAACTTGTTGTGTCTCCAGTTGCCTGAAAATGACTCACTGTGCCTGGAAAGCTACATTTTCCCAGGCACTGGAAGCATCCGATCATGCCAATGAGCTCTGCTTGCACTTTTGACAGAGACGTTTGATCAGCTTATGAGAAAAAGAAAACATGGATGAAACTGGCCTTGATGTAATTTTGCAGATCCTTTCTTTAATTCTTGTGGCTGAACGCTATGGATAAAACATAAAGTCTAAAGTCATACTTTTCAATTTCAGGATGCTGCAAGGGATACTCCAGGTTCTTCCTACTTTCCTGATGATATGACAGAAATCTTAGACAACAAAAGCCAAGCAGAGCAGATGGTAATCACCACACAAAGAGGGGGCAATGCTATGCCACCAGAAATATACCCCGGGATAGGTGAGGCCAGCAGTTTGGAAAGGATGGGCCATCTGAACAGAAGGCAGATCACAACCACTGATCTTGACTTGGAGAAGATGAGGTTGGATGGTGCCATGGTTAGGCTAAAATACAGGCATGAAGATAATGAAAAGCGGCGGCTGCATGAAATAAAAATGGAACAGTTACACCAAAAGGCTTCCTCTCAATCAGTAAGTGGGAAAGCATAGCAGGCAAATAAGAAACCTTTTAATAAAAACAAAAACCAGATTGTATACTGGCTTGTCCAATAGACTCTTAGCCATTGTTCCGTTGCTGGTATAAAAATCTTCAACAGCTTAGTTCCATACTAAAATCTATGTTTACAAATCTTTATTGTCACTGCTTATTATCTTAATAACTATAGAGCTTTCTTTAATGCTCCTACCTCCATCTGGCGTCTTTGAAATGTGCTGAAACCATCACAACTGGCAGCCACAGCTTGGGAAGGCTGCTGTAAAGAATTCTGCAATTTCTCAGGAAAAATGATTAACAATCAAAGCAGTTCCAGTCTCTATGATAGAGATAGCCTCAAGAAATTTCCAGCATGAACTTTCAGAAACAAGTGGCCTTGAAAACCAAGAAAAGGGGAGCAAGCCTGGTGTTTTCTGATTTTTGATGTGGGTCCCATGGAGATTTCTCTTTGGTACAGGCTGTCTTGCTATTGCTTTGGCCCACTTTGGAAAGAACGGAAGAATTCTGCTGAGGAGGGCTGTCATCAGGGGTGGGATTCAATTTTTTTCACTACCGGTTCTGTGGGTGTGGCTTGGCAGAGGAAGGATACTGTAAAATCTCCAGTCGGATATGGTATTTGCTGGTTCTCCAAACTACTCAAAATTTCCGTTACCGGTTCTCCAGAACTGGTCAGGACCTGCTGAATACCACCTCTGGCTGTCACTAATTCTTCTGTGCTTCCTCTTGGACATCACCTTGGACTGACTGAACTGCAAAGACAATGAAGGGGAATGGCTGAGATGCCAAAATCCCAAGGCTAACTGATGCAATTTTTATGGTTATTAAAGTTACTGCTTGCAATTTGAGAAAGCAAACAGAGGCAGATGTGCATCCTTCTAAAGGTCAGAGGATGTAAAGTTAGCTTTTAAAAGGATGAAGTAAAATAGGCAAATATTGCAGATGAAAGTGGGGAAATAGTACCACAATCAGTGTCTGATCGCATGAGATGCTGTTATGATGCAGTATATTATTTTTACTTAGTTTAGTCAAAGTGTTTCTATGCGGCTTCTTTCTGCAAAGCTTATCAGGCAAACAATACATAGGGAAATCTTGAGAAGATTACCCTTTGGGTCTATTATTTTGGCATCTTTAAGGTCTTGAATATTTCAGCCAGTGGAAGAGACAATTTGGAGAAAGAACCTTGCAGCGGGTAGACTAAACATGCTCATTTATACATATGACAAATATCAGGTGTAGTTTAACCCCCAGGTACAGTGAGCTACACATTAGGGAAATATAAATATTTACAAATTGTGTTGCTTACTTATTTGAATTTTGCCTCGAAGGCATGGGCCTGTTAACAATTTCATCATGTTCCTTTATTTCTATTTTGTTCCTTTCGCTTACAGATTGGACAACAACTCCATGAATTATTCCAGCCCCAGAACCAGTATGCCCTATTTTTTTTCTGCTTCATCTTTACCCATGTTATTTACACAGTAAGGGAGCTGGTTTTCTATTTTATTACAAAGCATCACATATTCTGCTATGCCATTTTGCTGTATCTTGGTTTCTTGAAGATTCTCATGGATTACAAACAGAGAAAAAAACAATCTTGGAACAGCAGCAGACTCTAAGCAACAGAAACAAGAGGAATATGGCTCCCTGAAGTTTATGTATCTCATCTCTTTGCCCTTACTCTTTAAAGTTTCCTAGTGTGCACAATGAATGCAGGTTTTGGTTTGGCTGTTGAAGGATTTGATGGACTCCTCTTTCTTGAATGTTATTTTCCCTTCCCCCTCCCCCTTTTAAGGCTTTTTAAGAGCTGCCCTCCATCTGAGCATTCAATCTTCAATATTAATAAATTGACATGGAATTTAAAAATATTGTGTATGCACATTGATGCTTTGAGAAAGTAGTATTGGAAATAGAACTATTTTTAAAGGGGAGTCAAGGTGATCTGATATTGAACATTAAATTTCAAATGAAATTCAACCATATAAAATGCACTTTCATTAGTAGAATGGAACTGAAGAAAAACTAAATTAGAAAAGGCATCTAAAGTCCTCCAGATGTTTCTTAACACCAATCCAAGGCACCACAGTCTGAAATATTTGAATGGAATCAAATGGCTAGGGATGTACTCTTTAGTATAAATATCCCAAAACATTTTGCTATCTGTTGCACCATAACAATTGGTGCCCCTGCACCATACCACAGGTGCATAATACCCTGAACCAATCAATAAAAATATAACTGTGACATGGTAAATAATAACTTGCAAGTATATTGTGACTCCTCAAATTTGTGGCTGGATAGTTACTTCTTGGAAACTGGAAAGCCAAAATCTTGAGCTGTTCTTCCTCACTTTCACCCTCATCATTTTCCTCTTCACATATTAGCTTCCATGTTGTTTCTGACTCAGAACAAAACTCTGCTCTCCTGACAAGACTCAACATGCAAACACACTTGCACTTAATTAACTATGGAGGAATCTTGGGGGAGAGATGAGAGAGCTCAAGCCATCTTGTAGAGGGTTCAGGACTCCATGGGAAAATGCCTGTTTTGTGTCAGTGGAGGTCACACCATGAAGATATGTCCCCTACAAATAGTGAAGCATCTTCATATTTCACCGAAAAAATATCTTAATAGAGGCTTAAATATCAGCCACCTTTCCCCCACTTTACCTATCTTACCTATAATTTTACCATCTTCTCTTTGTTTTCATGACATGCTATAATTATGTTAAAATTATGTTAATTCTTCTAATTTTTCCTTTATATAGACCAGTGTTTCTCAAATTTGGCAACTTTTAAGATGTGCAGACTTCAACTTTTAGAATTCTCCGGCCAGCCATGCTAATATATGAATCTTAAAAATGCTTCTTTCACCAGGGACCACCTGCAAGTCCTCTTGCAGACCACCAATTGGCAATGAAGCCAATTGTATGCATTTATACAACATACAAAATTAAATTGCAAACACAGAATGAGCCTATTGCATGAGACGAAAATGTGGTTAGCCAGATTCTCTTGGTTGTGTTTTGCAAATTAGCAGAACTCTTGGAAGCCTTAAAGGTTGCATGCAGGGGTGGGATTCTACTGGTTTGGCTTGGTTCAAGTGAACCAGTAGCTCCAAGGATCAGCTGTGACCAAACTGGTTCACTCTAATGATCAGCTGTTGGGCCCACCCATCCGTTCTGCCTTTAGTCTGTGCTTTATAACCTTGTTTTCAAGCTGAGCTGATTTGCACGGCACAGCAGATTGCTGCCCGTCAACTGTTTAATACATGCAGATTGCTGGAGAAGGTCAGTAGCAAATGCTCTGCATGCGCGTGAAGAGTGCGCTCACCAAACCGGTTGTTAGAGCGGTTGAATTGCACTCCTGGTTGTGTGTATTTACATAACTGCAACTGATCTGTTAAAGATATTGTCCCATATTTATATTTAATATGTAACAGAAAATATATTTGTATCTATGCAAAAGGTTTTCCAGATTCTGAATAGTCATCACGCTTGCAAAAGGGAATTATAAAACTGGAGCCTCCCCCATAAAAAACGATTGATGAAATACACATTAAGGAAAAATGTTGTATAATCAGACTTGGGTATTGTAATGTCACTTTTCTTTTCCCATTAGACTTCTATGGCCATGATAATATACCTGGTTGTTCTTCAGTGTTTTCTTGGAAGAATGTTCTTTCTGACTTAGGCCAATGATAGTTCATTTTTCTCTAGAGAAACATAATATAGGCCAGCTTGACAGCTTTAAGACTTATGGAATTCAACTCCCAGAATTCCTCCTCCAGTCATGTTAGCTCAGGAATTCTGGGAGTTGAAGTTCACAAATCTTAAACTTGCCAAGTTTAAGGACCCTTGATATAGGGCTTGTGGGATCAAAAATAATAGGCACAAGGTTTTTGGATTATCAGTTCCTTTGGCAATTTAATCTAATTCTATAGAACAAACTCTGGCTGGTTTTGCATAACATGCTAGACTAAAATGTAGTTGATTCATTTGTGGCTCAATGGATTGAGTGAACCCAATCAGTGTGATTGGATGATACAATGCATTATATCAACAAAAGCAATTGGACTAATAATGTAACAATAAAATTAGCCTCTTTGCAAATGCCCCACTTACCTTGATAAGTCTGGTAAAACAAGATCAGGTATACTTGTATATGTAAATGTCTTCAATATATGCACATTCATACACAGAAACAGATTTAAAGATGATCCTCACAGGAAGCCTGCCTGCCAAAGTATCATTGGACAGGAGTTCACATATTTTTAAAGGAACCCCACCCCTTTCAAGTCAAAGGCTGCAGAGCAGCAGCAAGTTGAAAGAATAAGAAGAGGAAAAAGAAAGGCTGTTGGCTGAGTTGCACTGCCCAATGACGTGAATAGAAGCTGTTATTCAAAGAAGTAAAAGCTATTGCTGGAACCTTATTGCAGTCTCCGGAGAGGTCTTCAGGATGAAAAATGCAAAGGTAAGAGGCCAGCATTCTTGAAAAACTACTTTGGTTATCTCTCTTTTAAAGATAGAATGAGGGCACTGTCTTTGCTGAGAGAAGAGCTGAATTCAAAGCTTGCTTTTCTCATGAATTCTTCAGCTGCCTTTGATGAGGCACAATTTTCTCAGCATAACCACATATAACATAGCACTTACAGTGGCTTATCTTATAGGGCAGTTGCGATTAGAAAAATTATAATAGCAAAGACAGCTGTAATAATTGTCCTAATAAATATAATGGTTATGATACATTACATATGAAGCCACTTTGAAAGCACTTGTTAAACAAGTCTTTTTTAATGAACTATTTTTGTCACTATTATAAGGATATATAATTTAGATTTCTCATTCTCTTATTTGATGAATGGAAGCAGTTTTTTCCTTGTTTTGTTGTCAGAACAACAGGCCATCATAGCAGAATAGGAGACAAATTGTGAGCAAATGAAGGATTTTTCTTAAAAGGGAGGTAAAATAATAGGGAAAACTTCACCTGTTGGTCTTCCATAGAGTAAAAGTAGAGCACTTTTGTCCTCAGAAATCTGGTTGTCTGACAAATAATGCTTTTTGTCCCAGAATTGTCTTTGTGTGACCTCTTCTGGTACTAAAGGTTTATTACAATAGCAGCATGTAGACATTGGAGAAGTCTTTCAATTTGCAAGTGAACATGTGAATAAAGTGTAAAAAGCTGCTACAAGTGATGTTGCCCATGGCCTGATTTGGATTGTACTTTCATAAACCCATGAATAAATGACATGGAGTTGAGCCAGAAAAGTGTGAGAAGATCCCATCTTTTTGTCTCTTCCTTTAATAACCATGATTAGCCAATCAATTGATCAGTCGGTGACAGATCAGCTGTTTCAAGGTATTATTGGACATTAGTGAAATATCTTAAATGAAATGCTGGATATATGTCAAAGGTACAATTTTCTAGGCCAGTGATGGCTAACCTTTTCGGCACCAAAATGGGAGTGTGTGTGCATGCTGGAAACTGGAAGAGAAGCTCTTCGATGCTCACGTGTGGGAGTGTCAGAAACCGGAAGCTTAGCTTCTCGGCACTTACATGCGTACCGGCCACCTGGTCTTCCGCTTTCTAATGTGCATACGTGCACAAAAACCAGCTGGCTGGCACGTGCATGCACTCTGGGGAGCTGCTCTTCTGATTTTTGGTGCTCCCGGGCACGCAAAGACCAGCATGCGTGCACTGAAACCCCCAAGAGCAACGGGTGACAGATGCCATGCCCGGAGAGATGGCTCTGCATGCCACTTCTGGCACATGTGGCATTGGTTGGCCATCATGGTCCTAGGCTCTCAAATAGTATCACTTCTTCAGTTAATTATCTGAGTACGTTGTCAATTAAACTCAATGATGATTGGAATTGTGCCTTTGATTTTTAAGGAAAAGTTCGATGATTTATGAAAAACTTCAAGGTCAGAAACGACACATAAGTATCTACTAATTGATGTGGGTCACATTGTTATTAAAAGAATGCCAAAGTACATCCACAAATTTCAAAAGTTATCACCTGTACTTTGGCACTACAATTTGTCCCGTTTAAGATTTAACATTCCTTATTTTTTCTTCCACTTGTTCTTGCATTTATCTCTTGATGATATGTCTAGCATTTAAAAATATGCTTTAGTATGAGCTTTGGGTATTCAGGAATTAAATCTTGGAGGAAAACTAAGCAATGCTTAGATATTAATTTCTATTCTGATATAAGTTGTGTCTTTGAATCACATTAAACTGTTCTCAAAAACAGCTTTCTTTACTATATGTTAAAAAAAATATACAGGTTTGTTCACTAATATGTTGATTAGGAATGATGGAACCTGTAGTCTAAAACACCTGGAGAAGAGAGCTGCTGTACTGTTTGATCTATGAAAACAATTATATGGTTTGCATATAATTTTTTAAAATGCACATTTTTAACATTGCCAAGAAAGAATAAGCATCTTCCAATAAAGAAGTTTCTCTTATGGAAGAAAGAATCTTCACAAGAGATCCAGAAGCCGCTGGCCTTTTCACACAACGTGGTTTTGATCAAATGCAGAATTTTATTTGGAAGTTGTTTTGTACTTTTCCATGCCGTACCTTATTCCGTTGCTTCCAACTTTGTGTAAAAG